CTGTAATTTTGCAGCAACTTTTCTTCATTGCTTTCTGAGTGAATGTTGCTTTTGTTTAAAATAACTTAAATGAATATATTTTTAGTTGTTTGAAGCTTTTTTTCTGCTTCGATGACTCGTAGGGGTGTTTGGAGGCTTTTAGCCAGGCACGTGAATCAAAGGATGTCTTAACCTGAGCAGATGAAAAACAGTTGTTGTGATCTGCTTGTTCTCAGAAAGCAGGGGATGTGGTGAGATGGCCTGATTGTGCAGGAATGGTTGACAAATTATGTGTCAGATCTGCTCAGAGTGATATCAGAAATGTGTGGAAGAGAGAGAGCAAATGTCTTTTGGGTTTTTGCAGATGCACATTTAGGTTTTCTCTCATTAAAGGACAGTAACCCACAAAAATACAGGAATGCTGCACTTCATTAGTAACTTGATGACCCATGAGCAATTAAATACAGCAGCAACACAAAACAACAGGAACACTCATGAGCAGACACCCTTTTTGACGTGTTTGAATGTTTGTTATTGTTTGAATTTCGCCTCCTTAGTCATGTCAGAGCCGATGGGTGTGATTGGGTGAGCGTACATGAAGTTCTGTTCATTCCAGGGAGAGGCTCTCTATAGCATTCTTCTCCTTTTGATTCAGAGGGCGTGTTTGTCCAGGTAAGTGTGTTGTCGGTGTCTAACCCACGCAGGTTAGAGTGAGCATCAGCAGACAGCATCACCGACATGCGGAGGGTTCACACCAGTGTCTGTGTGGCGTCCAGTGAGAGTCTTGACAAGAGTGTGTGTGATTCATCCTAGGAATATTCCCCTGAAGCTACAGTGGTTCATCTAAGTGTTACTTCACATCTATGCTCAGACACATCTCTCTGTGCGTCTGCCTTTTATTTTAGCAACGGCACGTCGGAGAGACGGCGACCTTTCATTTGAGAGGGAAAAGTGTGGAGGTGTGGAGCAGATGTAGGTGGCCGTGGCTTTTATTTATTTTTTTACCAGAACTGATGAGTTAGTTAATTCAGGGCCATACTTGTAACAAGGGTGTTGGATTTCTAGTGCAGCACAATTGGTACCAAATTGTGTTTCTCCACACTTTTCTTGTTATGAGGTGCTAATTCCCAAAGTTGGCATTGTTAAACAGAATAATGGTAAATAGCTTCCTGTAAAGGGCTATGCAACAGCATTTCCTATCACTGTAATTCTATAACGTGTTCTCTTTTTCCATCAACAAACACAAATCTTTAAAAATAACCTCTGGCTACCTTTATTTATGTTGTTGATGAAAGCTTTTGACTCATCAGTGTTTTCAGTGCCATTCATAAAATCTAGGAAATGAAATGTTGAATTTTCCAAACCATATGTCAACCACAGACATCATACACAGACACTTTGTGTACTGGAACTGTCTGGCTGGTGTAACAGCAGGCAGCCATTTTCTTGGTTCTTTTTAAACACATAAAACAAAACTTTTCCTTTAATGTATTAGCTAACGTTTCGAAATAAGGAGCCATGAACACGTTACTACACTTTAGCTCACGCATGGGACTGTGTCATCGACGCAGTCCCATGTCTTCTGCTGCCTACAGACAAACGGTGAAGGATATGATGCTGCCAACATCGTCACAGGTCTGAGGATGGCTACAGAAAGTAGCCGAAACGTTCGCTAGTAAGGTAAAGGAAAAGTTTTCTTTTCTGTGTTTAAAAAGAACCAAGAAAATGCAAGTTGAAAAGAGACACAGTATGAATGTACAGAAGCAGGCCGCCATCTTGGATGGGTTCCCATTCGCTTCCAGTGCATTTATTTCTATTGAAGAAGGTGTTTACCCAACTAAAAACACATTTTGTTGTGTTTTTTCACAAAATCTGGTATGGCATGATAAGTAAAATGTAAATATAATAAAATAAAGTAACAGGTAGACTAGTAAAGTCATAGTAACCCCACGTGATCTGTTTTCAATAGTGTGCCGGCAAAGTTGCTCACTCTGCATTGACTCCTGATACTTTTGACACTCATCGCTGAAGCAGTTGTGATATGTTGCCGAAAGAGCTGAATGTGTGTGGAGACACAACAGCTGAGAGGACTGGGCCATCGTATCTCCCGATTAATTTCCCCTTCTCAGAAATGACCCTGAAGGTCTGACAATGGAAACATGCCTTCACATGTGTATAAAAAATGTCACCAACTCTGCATCGGTCTAGGTACTTTCCCAGTGGTGCCCACTTTGTGACTGACATCCAAACATAAACGTATTCCAATTCTGAACGGTGCTCAATTCAAATGGCACGGGGCGCTACTGGCAGGGGGGCGGGCTTAGCAAGAATAAAACCGACTTTTTGCCCACATGACCTCACAGAATATCCCTTTTTCTAAAACAATGATACATATTCTCTGAAATGGGGAAAACTCCTCATTGCTGCTTTAGGCAACTTCAACATTTATTTCTTAGAATGTAGTTTCAGACTTCAGCTCCAGTAACCAGGAATAAATGTTACATAAAAGATTTCCTCCACCTATTTCAGGTGAAGTTTCTCCTTTTCTCTTCTCCTGGCGTTCAAGAGCACAGTCGCTTCTGCTTTGCTCCCTTATCTTTTTTCCCAAGGCTATCTTTGTCTTGTCTGCCTACAGAGCACTTCTCTGCATTTCCTCTGGAAATCACTATTTTTCAGAAATGGATTTAATTAATTGGTCATTCAACGCGATTGATAAGATTTTTTCTACGATGAGAACGGAGGAGGGGGCTCCCACGTGCCCTCACTGGACACACGCAGCGGGATATATGCTTGATTCCTGGAAGGTGTGGAATGTCATCTGTCTCTCTCAGCTGTCCATTTAGGACGTCGAAGATATGTGGAGATTTGGCCTGATGATAACTGGATTTCTTCTGATTGGAGTGGGAGGATATCTGGTTTTCCGAAAATTTGGGATGACGGGAGCGATTGGAGGGCGACCCGCACCCATGGACGGCACCTTCCGGGCGGAGACCTTACAGACTGGAACGTTACTCAAGGTGAATCGTAAGCTGGACAATGTCTTGGCTGCGTTTACCGGTGTTAGTGCGCAAAATGGATGTCATCTCGGAGAGGGTCACCGGACGGTGTGGAGATGTTTAATACCTGAATTGGCTTCACTGGAGGACTTGAATGATCAATACAGACTTTAAGGCAGAGTGGAAAATTATCTCTGCCTGACCCAAACAAAGTTCAGTTATCCAATCTGACGGCATAAGCAGCCTTGGAGTTGCGTGCAACAACCCCCACGATGGAAGGACTGCAGACAGATGCTGTGAAAACCCGAACTACCCCCCCCCCCCCCTCCCCCGCCTTCAGATTGTGGTCTCTGCATAGCGAGGTCATCAAAATGGAGGAACTCAATGCGCTCTGTGCTTTCCCATGACCTCCCTCCCACCTGTGGATACAGTTGGATGAGCGCCAAACGGGCTGCTCCCGCTGAGGAAACCAGGATCCCAGCCTCTCCCCCCTCCCCTTCCGGGTCTCATGTTGTGAACTGTGATGTTCGTGCTTATACGTTGAGGTGTTTTTTTGCATAGTAGAGATACTCCCTTCCGGAGTAACTCTGCTAAGCCTTTTTCTCCCTCCCCGAACTCTCGTCATGTAATCCCCTCTTCATCTATTGAAATGAGCGCCGTTATGGCTGCTCTCGTGGTCTGCCTGTACCTGTTCTGTCTATATGTGTGTGTGTAATCTTGGTCAGGCTGTTCTGTGGAGTCAAGTTCCTATGCTCTGGTTCGCTGGAGCGCTGGCAATAAAATTCTCTCTGAAAAATACTCTCTGATTCTCTGATTTTATTCACTGATTAAAGCCATTAACTACGTGTTAACATACTTTACTGTCATAATAAAGTGCTTAATTGAAACTCTGTAGTCCTAGTATGTTTTAGCCGTTTGGCTCCACCACCAAAGGCCCATTATTTCCCCTCATTCCTCATCTTTCTGTTTTTTGCCTTTAGGGACAAGCTCTCTTCAACATGGCAGGCTTGAGCTTCACTAAAACAGAAAGAATATCCCCGTGGAGACTGAAAAACAGGAACGTGTATTCAGAGTCAACTGGGAACTTTTTCAATCCGATGAGTTCATGAGACAAACACTTTTTCTCTGATTTTTCCCAGTTTCTCATCCCCGACTCCACCAATTACTGGATATTTCTTTGATACCCTTATCATGCCACAATGATATGTTTATATTCACTGCTCGAAAAAACAAAGGGATCACTTAAAACACACACACAC